GGGGGAAGAATTGATTTTGAATAGTTATATGATGGGAAATGTGTGGTTGAAAAAGAAGAAAAAATTATTGATGTGATGGAAAATATTATTTTATTGAAAAATGTGTGGTTGAAAATTAGAATTGATTTACTGTAGAAAAATTTAATCTCTCCCAAACAGGGCCTAACTCTTATGTTCCAGCATTGACCAATCAAAATAATTATATATTTTAAAACACACTTGGAAGTTTTTTTTTTTTTATAACCGTGGATGTCCAGGCCAGCTTGGGCGCACCTCGACTAATTCCACGGGGCCTTGAAATTTACGGTCGGGTACTCACCTCAGTGGCCCTGAAGGACTTGAACTGGTAACCACTGGGAGCAAACTCAAGATCTGACCAATTGAGCAACCCTTCAAGATTAACACTTATAAGTTTTTAAGCTTATTCAACATGCTCTCATCAATCCCTGCACTTCATATTGATTTTATTGGGAGTTTTTTTTTTTTCGACATCTACAATTATTCAAAGATACATGTCACATCATTGTGTATAATCTTACACAGTTTCAAACTCAAAATCTGAATAGACTTTTTTAGCCAACAAACTTATTTTTTGAATCTTACATTCTATATATTTAACTTTTCAAAACCTAGAATTTTCTAATAATTTTATTCTAATGCCACTGATATTCTTCACTAAGAAATCATAGATCCATCACGAAAAATATGAATCACTTACTTCTTCATAAGTTTCTCCCTTTGCTCTTAACAGCACAAGAAATGCACTGATCAAAGCTTCATCACCACCATTCAGCAAGAAATCCAGAGAAGCCTCTGCTTCAGCTTCCGATAAATCCACCCCATTGATCAAACCCTCTATCAACTGTTAAGTAAATAAATCTCACAACATAAGAGGCTTGGCTACACCACTTATTGGAGCTCAAAAGGCCCAAAAGAGCATTCCGTCTAAAAAGCTCGAACAAACAGTCGGAATCAGATTCGAAAATTGAAGTCTAAACTCCAATATTCTTCAGATATTAAAAAATAAAATAAAAAAGATCAAAGTACAACTCCAATTCCCAACAATTAAGGGGGAAAAAAATGAAATCCATCACTAAAACGCAATTTTTTATTTTTTTAAAAAAAGACAGAATAGAAGAAGAAGCTTTTAGCATTACCTGACTAAAAGACGAGACGGGTGCATGATTTTTAGAATTCGGCAAAGCAGAAGGTACAAACAGCGAGCAATTAATATGAACTGGGGAATAAAGGAATGAATTTCTGATCTTCTGCGATACAAGTTGGCGAGTAAACGCTGAACAACGAGTGTGAGGTGGAAAAAATTTAAGATGATGAAGATTGACAACAGCCATTTTGCAGGGTGCCCACTTCTGATGCTGCAAATATATTTATGTTTGGCCCAGTTCAATTAATGTCGAGAAAATTGTGTGCGCACCAAACTGTTATGTACCTGGGTTACGTAGATGTATTCATGTAAATCGTGTCGAAATTGAGAATGCAGCGATTTGGTACCATTAATTAGGGCTTCTGACTTTTGGAAGCTTGTTCAGATCCTTCTCCCCACGTGATGGTAGGAATGTCAAAAGTGACTCGTCGACTCGTGATTTGGGATCATCGAGCCGAGCTCTAGTCTAGCCCCATTTTGGGACATCGGCTAGAGCTCAAGCCCGACGAGCCACACGGGCAAGCTCATGTCACGGGACATTTTCGGCCGGAATGAGTCGAGCAGAGTTTCATTAAAAAAAAAATAATTTAAACAACAATATTGCAGTCAGCATTAAAAAAAATATAGATGCGCTGTCGGGTCGAGCCTCAATTTTTTTGTCGAGCTTTTGCTCGGTTCGGGCCAAAAAAAGGCCGAACTATTTTTGTTCGAGTCGAGCTCGAGCTTCGAGTTTCGACTTGTGGCTCGGTTGGGCTCGGCTTGTTGACACCCCACGTGAGGGCTCGTTCGAGATGACTTTTACTTTTAGTTTTAATAGAATAATTTTTGAAGAATATTATCTTAATTTTTGTTTCAAAATTAATTTTAAACAGAACTTTTTTATTTCGAAATTATTTCTCTAAAAGCTTCTCTTAACAAAAAAAAAATTCATAAAATTACTCAAACAGGTGTAAAAGTAACCTTTAAATTTTAAAAATTCCTTTTTACTTCTTAAAATCATACCAAACAATATTGAGACAAAATTCTACGTCCCTTCATTGTACCAATTAATAAACAGAACAATCAAGGAGAACATAATCCTTTATCCACATTTTTCGATTTATTTTATTTTATTTTTATTTTTTTAATTTAAATAGTATTTAAAAATTTTAAAAATAATTAAACTTAAGGTTATTGAAACGTGAACGTGCGCCGAGTGATTATATACACATCGGCAGTTTATCCTTTAGCTATAATCAACTAAAAGGTTTGATGCTATAAATATCACAAGTGAAATATTAGGGTAAAATCTATAATATAGTGAAAGGTTTGAGACTATAGCTGCAATTTTTCCTTTGATAATTTGAATGCAGTTCCATTCATCAGCATCTCTTTACATTCAAGGATCCCAAAGATGGTATGAAAAATTACCAATTGCAGTGTACATTTTGCTCTCTTAAGTTATATTTTATTAACATAATAGGTCCCAAAGTACATTTTTTTTTAATTAAGTAACCACGAGCCCTCGGATAGCCACCTCTCACACTTGTCGACAAGCATAATAATAATGAACATGCAACGTGAAAGAGTATGTTTCTCAAAACACTATTAAAATGGTGTTATTTTTGAAAGTTGATTTGGTTGATTATTTGGATTATGGATGACCTATGTAACCTTCAAATGGTTCGTTGGCTGAGACAAGAATTGTGCTAATTGAGGAGGGTTGTAAACCGTCTGATCAAATGGATGGCTGAGATTTATTATTGGATTAATTGATCCTTTTTAATTTGGTGGCTTGTTCACTGTAGCCTAACTTTTCATTTTTTTTTCAATGGTCTCTTCAGTTTACTTCTATCTAGTTGTTTTTTTGTCTGAGGGCGATTTTCTTCTTTTCCTTTTTGGTTAAAAATCTTCTCTGTTAATCTTAACTTGTGATTAATCCTGGAAAAACTATCGTGCTACGGTAACTCTAGGCTTGGTTAAGTCTGTATTGTTTTACGTTTAAGTCAGAATTGGTTAAGGTTGGTTATTATAAAGGATTTGTGTCTTGATTTTGTAAATCCATATGGATCAATGATCAAAACGGGTTTCCGAGCAGGGGCGAAGACGTGCCTTCATTAGACTTTTGGCCCAAGCCCAAGCCCATTCCTTTTTTTTTTTTTTTATTTGAAGTGTAAGATTTGACGAAGATGAGATGCAATAATATATGTAGATGCAGAGCTTAAGAAGTGGAAGACATAGCTTGAAGCATCTTCATTGCATGTATGTATCTTCTATCAAAGCTTTTCATCTATGTCATCTTCTTTTCCTATTGTTTTCTTCTTCCTCACATTCATTTCTACCGGTGGATAAAGCTCGTAAGGTCTAAAATAATAATTCCCCGATTTATATGAATTTTAATCTAAAGTCGATGTTTGTACTTCATTTTTGAAATGTAATTTTTGTCAAAACTTATTTTGAATCTTATGTTCTTCCAAAAAAATCTAAAATTTATCCTACATTTTAACTATATGTTCTTTAAAAAAAATCCTTTTAATAAAATTCTCTAAAAGGTTGCGTGTTTACAATTTATTGAGGTTATAAAAGTAACTTTTATATAATATTGGATTGGGATAGAGATCTTTAGTTAAGTTTATAGTTATCGATTTATGAAAATCTTAAACACGTCACATTTAATGAAAGGATAAATATGATATGCACGTGAAGGAGCATGGTCAACACTAAATTCAAATGTGTTCCATTTCTAATTTAAGTTTTTAGACGAATTGAAAATTATACGTAAAAATGAGAGAAAATAGAAGAAAAATATTTTTTTGATTCAATAAATGGCAAGTGATATAACTTAGCTACAACCAAAATGATAGTAATCGAAACTTAAAGTTATCTAAATTTAAACAAAATACAAAAGAAATTTGTATATTTTTTTTAAGAAAGGTTCCTTTATATTCATTTAATTTGCATGTATTTTCAAAAAAATAGAGAAGTTTCACTTTTTCCTTTTCTTCGAAGCCCTTCTACATTCCTACCATTTTTGTTTTCTTTGGAGTTTGGACAACAAATTTCAAGAATATTCAAACGAAACAAGATGTAGACACATCAAAATATGAAAGCTCACAAGGAACAAATGTAACTTATAAACTATATCATTTTTAGTGTTGTCGTAATATTATTTTATATTTTACCATTATTAAATCCATAGTCGAAAAATCCAAGTCCAACCTTGATTAAATTTGGCCTGCGCTGGACAATATTTCTAGTTCCACCCATGTTTCTCTGAGTGGTTTTATGTACATGATACTCTCTCTTGGATGACAGATTTACACTAGTTGAATGGGTTTCAGTCCCTGAGCCCTCCAGACTAAGCCGATTGGTTGAACCGGGTCAACGTTTTTTGTGTTCTTGCATTTATAATTTCTGATTACGTTCTATAATTGTAGTTTATTTCTATTTTGTCGAATATTTTTCATCAAGAAATCCCTGCACAACACTTCAAAGATATGACGCTACAAGGATTTCTGCATATAATAACATCGTCGGCGTACTTTTTCATACTCTATGCCATACTTCTAATTGCAGTATTGTCAAATCATGTGGGATAGAAAAGTTCATTTTATAACAAATTAAAAAGCATACAAATTTATCGAACTGTGTTTTTAACTCAATTATCCAAAAGAGAGATGTGATTGGAGAAATAAGTTTATTAAATGGACTAGGTTGATGCTCAACTAGGATAGAGTACGATTGGTTTGAATAAATTGAGTGATTTTGAGAAGAGTAATCAAATTGAAATTACATCATTAGTCCCCAACCTATTGTTTCATTATCAATTTGATCATCCAAAATCCCCAGAATATCCTACAGATATACATTTCTGAATTCCGATCATTGTCTTCCACTGTTCAATCTCACTCTCCCTCCAAGTCCAACTCTGCCTTGCAGTTGATCTCCGACCCGACGGAGCCCCCAACGGTACCCACCTCTACTAATAAATACACATACACAGCTCCTATCTCTATATTTTTCCTCATCTGCATCTCCAGAAATGCAAAGCACGGCCATTTCGTTCTGCCCTTCCATTTCCTTTTCTACCAAACTACAAAAGCCCGGCCCATCTTCTCTTTACAGACTTAGCCCCATCCCTCCAAAACCGCTCATTTGCAAGAATGGGTCGGTTTCGGGTCGTGTATTGAACTCAATTAGCTGTTATTTGAGGCAAACTGGCTGGGTTTCGGGCTCACCTGAGGAACCTGAATTTGAAGGGTTTGTTGTTCGAGCCACCTCAGTGCCCGGAAGCGCGGGTGCTGGTGAAAGCCCGAAGTCTAAGGGCATTGGAGATACTTTGGTGCTCGGAACGCTTTTCGGGCTTTGGTACCTCTTTAATATCTACTTCAATATCTACAACAAGCAGGTCGTTATTTTCTCTGTCTTTTGATGATATGGTATCCAATATAAATATGTTGGAGTGTGCACGTTTGGTTTGGTTGTATGGACTATACGAATATTTCAATTTTAATTATTTTGGAAATATAAGTGTAATTTTGTGACGGATGGATCCATTTTTTTATTTGGCTAAATTACAGAACTTGCGCGGAAGTTTGAGTTTCTGGTGATTTGCTATTGATATTGCACAAAGGCAATGATTCATGCATTTTTTTGAAGTTCTATAAATGTTGAGAACTGTTAACTGATGTGCCAATATTTTTTTTTCATTATTATTTATTATTATTTTATTTTTTTGCAATGTTGGATTTAGGAGTAAATTGCTGGCAGCTGGATTTAAATTCATTCAATGTTTAATTTTTAATTTTTATTGATAAAGATTGGATCTTAGGCGTCTTTCATTTTCGATCAACGAATATCTGGATGGTTTGTGGAGTTGATGAAAGAAATGATGAGGAATGATAAATGAGAGGGAAAATATTTATGTTGCAGCTTGTTTCCTATCATAACTAAGGAATCAAATTTTTCTTTCTACTTACTTTCTATGTACAGCTGAAAGAATATTTTAAATTGCTTTTGATTGTGAAGAAAGATAGATGAGCATTTTAGCTATTTATGGATCAATTCAAAAGATCATTTGGTGGGTACTTAATTTGGGTTTTTGAATTAGGGCCTTTGAATTGGAAATAGAATCGATGATGATGAATATTTCTACTTTTGATCACTGAAAGGTAAGATGATTATAAATCATCTCAGGTTCTCAAAGTTTACCCATATCCTGTAACTGTCACTTTAGTTCAATTTGCTGTTGGGACTGTGCTTGTTATGCTCATGTGGACGTCCAATCTCTACAAAAGGCCAAAAATAAGTGGCTCACAGGTAATTTTGCAGCTATAATTCTACTCTTTCCTTGCCGTTCAGACAATTCTAAGTGGGAAATTCATCTCTAATTTACCATTGACAGCTTGCAGCTATTCTGCCATTGGCAGTTGTACACACCTTAGGCAACCTTTTCACCAATATGAGTCTTGGAAAAGTTGCTGTTTCATTCACTCACACAATAAAAGCCATGGAGCCCTTCTTCTCAGTTGTCCTCTCAGCTATGTTCCTAGGAGAGGTGCGTGCTTCATATTTCCTAAAATCTCCTACCATCTGTGCAATTGTATAAATGTTTTTTTGTAAGTTTCTTTGGAGTTTCTCAATATTTGTAACATGATAACATAGTCTACCATGTGTACGGACCACTTCTTGTTTGAATGCCTGTAATTAAACTAATATAATCCTGATGAAATTCCTAGTGGTGTTATAAAAGAGAAAAAATAACTGTCATAATTTTTTCCTCAACATGTTATTTAAATTGTGAATTTATATGATTAAAATATATCCATATCCCATAATGCCATCCTCAATTTTTATGGAGTTATAGACTTCGACTAGGGTCCCTGGTTGAGCATTTGTTGATATTGTGTATTTTGGTTATTGTTTGAGGTGTTCAACTTATATAATTTGGTGTCTAATTTGTCCTCCTCTTTGAGCAGGTTCCTACAATATGGGTTGTTTCTTCCCTTTTACCGATTGTTGGTGGAGTGGCCTTGGCATCAATGACTGAGGCCTCTTTTAACTGGTAAGAAATTGGAATGCATTCGCTGGCAGTAACTCCTACTGCCACTTCTCTTTCAAGTGTGGTAACAAGTGATCGTTTGAGATTTTCACGGAGAAGCTTCTTTATTTTTTAAAGGGCTGGTTTTTGGAGTGCAATGGCGTCAAATTTGACCAATCAATCTCGAAATGTCCTTAGCAAAAAGTTCATGGTCAAGAAAGAGGTAGGCTTCACTCTTCTACCATTCTAATAGAAAACAACGCAGTGCTGGTCATTTATTTATCGACTTCGATCACTTTTGTGGAAATCAGTTTCAGTAAGTCCGCTAATATTGCCCTGTTTCATGGAATCCATACCTGATCTGTTTGGTTTTCATGCAGGAATCTTTGGACAACATTACTCTCTTCTCAATAATCACAATTATGTCCTTTATCTTGCTGGCCCCTGCAGCTGTATTCATGGAAGGAATTAAGTTTACCCCTGCTTTCATTGAAACTGCTGTACGTAGATCTCAAGGGTGGAAATGCTTATAATTCATTTGAATTGTGCCTTTGATAAAGAGCATTTCTTTAATCAGAAACAAAAAAAGGTAGAAAGTGATTATCATATTGTTTTATTGTCAGGGGTTAAATGTCAAGCAGATTTACACTAGATCCCTCATTGCTGCTCTCTGCTTCCATGCCTATCAGCAAGTAAGTTTGTCAGATTCTCATAATCAACATCACTTGGTAGTTAATTGCTAATGCTGATTTTCGGATTTGTTAATCTTACTGGCGAAAGAAAAATTGTGAACTTGTAACAAAATATGGAGAAAAAAAGATTCATGAAACGATGAATCCAAAAGGACTGATTGGTGATAATATGACAGTTCCCAAAGTAAAATGATTATTCAAAAGCATTTTTGCACATTTTCCCGATAGATCTAAGTAACTGTTCCATCTCGAAAAGTTGACCCCAGATTCTACGTCCAAGCTCTTGCTCCCGAAGTTGGATTTTCTTTAAACCCTTTTAACAATTTCATTTACGTCATTCATTAGAAGTCGAATAGAGGCTCTTTTCATACTGAGATTTCTAACAGGAGTGTGTGTGCAGGTTTCATACGTGATATTGCAGAGAGTATCTCCAGTCACACATTCTGTGGGCAACTGCGTGAAGCGGGTGGTGGTGATCGTTACCTCTGTTCTTTTCTTCCGCACTCCAGTTTCACCCATCAACTCTTTTGGTATTACTCTTATAAGTAACAAACTTTAGCGGCTTGTTTGGTCAAGTCGATTAGATGGTTCTGGACAATATTGAAGAAGATAAACAAACTAAATTTTCCTATTCACGTTTAATGCAGGAACTGGAATTGCACTTGCTGGTGTGTTTCTGTATTCGAGAATAAAGCGTATTAAGCCAAAGCCGAAAACAGCTTGAAGATCATGATATTGAATTTTTTTTATTTTTAATAGCGTTGTTAGAGTAGAACATTGGTTGTATTTTAGGAAACTTTTTGGTTTTCCTTTTCCTAAAATAGCTCTAGCATGAAGTAGCAATTGGAATTCAAGAAAGTCCCAAACATATAGAAAGCGTGATATGATGAATACCACAATACATAATATCTATGCATTTGCATTTCTTTAGATGGTAAGAATTCAAATGAATTCTGATAGTTTTAATAAAGAGAAATTCACGACAGAACTGGTCGTTATAAATTCTGGAAAGCCTTTTCAGGATTTTTCCCATCAATTTCTGAATGATGGGGGAAATCATATGGCATATTCGGCGCCGAAAGCCCCGCTTCACCAAAAACTTTCACAACTTCTTCATGGACAATGGCATTACCTTCTGCTGTCAGGTGCAAGCCATCGCTGTAAACAGAAAACATTATTAAAAATTTAAAATAAAGTTGAGTTTCGATAATTCTAGCGTTCATCGAGAAAAACCACAAGATTAATCATAACTTGGTTAATAAGAAGTAATCCAGTTTAATGATTGGTGAACAAAATCAGTGTCAGCGAGTTTAGTCCCTCTCCTTGGAGCTAGGAGCATCTTAAATAAGGTTCAAAATAAGCAAACTTTTTATCGTTGAAGTTTATATTGAGAGTAATTTGAGGGTTACTTCCAAAAGTAACTTTTTTTACTTGGAAGTAATAAAAAGTAAGTTATTTTAACATATTTGGAGACAAGTTACTTTAAACTTAGCCAGACATGAGTCATCTTACTCAAAATAACTCGGTTTTTATGAAGAAACGACAAAAGGGTATAGATAGAGAGCATGTGCTACTGCACAAGCCTGCTTCTCGTCCCCCATCCCAGAAACAATAAGAAGCTCTGTCACTAGTAAATAAAATAACAAACCTCAAGAACTTTTTCTGCCAACCCTCAATTTTCTGCATCTTGGACCATAGGTTGATTGAAGGAAGACCAAGTTCTTCAGCTAATTCGACACATTGCTTCGCATAAACTGCAGCCATTTCATTTGTCCTTTCAGGCAACTCTGTTGCTTTGTCCCCATACAAAGACCTGCTCGAGTAACAGAAAAGATATTGCTAAAAGTAGAGTGGTTACTTTTCCTTCAATAAAGTTATCCATCATGTAAATCAATTGGGATAGACTCTTGAAAATCGCATGTGTCCTTAACAGAGAATAGATTTTGGTGCCTGAATTTTTAAAAGAATATGCACTGTTGTTGGCCCTTGGAAAGTTATATTACTTACTGGAGATTATCGACTTATTGAATACAACTTAATAGAGCTCCGATTGTATACCAAATTTTCACCCTTCACAAGTCACAACCCTCGGTTAAACAGAAACCAAAAAGGATACTAACTAACTTCACCACATTGTTCAATAAGTTAAGAGAGACAATAATGTGCATTTTCGTAGTCAGGTTTAAATCTCACACAAAAAAGATGCAGTGTTAAAAGCAAGGGACTGATACCGTGCAAATTCTAGGCGCCCTTGCTCATCTATGGGAGGTGGAGTTATAAGTACAATTAGCATGGTAGGGGAACAGTTCTGCAGTCATCATTTACAAAAAATTAGAATTGATACAGGGTGCTTGGACCAATGCAAACACAGGACTTGAGGTATCTATTAATCAAGAATATGACCATATATGAACACTATAAAAAATGTAACAACGAAAGGGGACAAGAATCATGAAGATCCATTAAATCAATTACATATCTAAAAATCAGAAGGCCCAACTTCTGCCAAAAAAAACTTGCATGAGTTCAAGTTTAAACCATTACATGTTCAACAGAAAGGCACAATGAAAGTAATCAACTAACGATCATAAAGTCGACAAATTTGGTATAGGAAACCATTGTTACTGCTATTATATTTATCAAACTAGTGAACTGCAAATTTGCAGGAAAAGAAAAAAGAAAAAGTGTATGTTGACCATCAAGAGCTTTTTATGCTGGTTAAAATACAACAGTTCACTAAATAATCAGAAATCCAACTATGCAATAATATTAAGCACAAAAAATTGCAATTTCAAACCTTTAAGTGTTGAGCAATTCTTCTTAGATTTTCCTTGTATTCTTCAACAGGCACATGTTGCCTTTCACCAGTTCTCCCCAAAAGAGCCGCATCATTAGCCCCAAAAAATATGGTGGTAGCGACCGGAGGCGTTGCAGATCCCTGCCAGTCAGTCAGAAAAGATCCCCACGTTGAGATCAAAATTGAAATGAAGTATAAGAAACTGATCCTACATTAAACTGGGGTTGAAGAAATATTAGCAAAAAGTAAGGTTTCTAAAATGTATTTACTTATCACTACACCCTCAGTACACTGAGGCGCATAGAATCAGGAAAGTAAAAAACGAATACGATGAAAACAAAGATGATACAAAAATAAAATGAACTTAATTGTGCAAAATTCAACAAGCAATCTGAGATGTCAAATAAACGCACAAATCAAATGTTTAACATTGAACAAAACCAGTGAAGGAAATCTCTATATTACATTACATCGTTAGAACATCTATATTTCAATTTAGACGTTCTTTATCCTAAAAATTACAATCTACAATTCAAATTAATTAATCAAATTGTACAATTGCCCACTTCAACTTATATTCCATATCCTCTCACATACTAGTATCAGAATAATGCGAAAAAAATAAAGATCTGGACAAATTACCATAGGGAAAAGGTGATTCAACAAGAACAAAGCCCACCTGGTGTTGTACCCACCATAACCACGTACCACAACATCAGCCTACAACATCGAACAGGTAAATTATGCAGATCAAAGTGAATAAAAAATAAACTGATTTGAAATATATAGTAAAAAAAAAAAAAATTAAATGAAACCTTGCGAGAGTAAGTATCAGCAAGAGCAGCACCCCAACCACCTAATCTGAAAGATTGCTCTGTAATTGAGTCCCCAAACAACACTATTTGAGGCCTCATTCTGTAACTTGGATTGACAACACCGTTTGAATGGATCTGGTTAAACACTAACGAATCAGAAATTGTCGCGAATTGCATTAGCAATCCCGACTTGTTTCCTTGATTATGGGAAGTGTGTAAAGAGCATCTCTGGTAAAGCCTTCACTTCCAAGTTTTATTATAAGTGAAGAAGTAAAATTTATTTAAAAAAAAAAAATCTTTTATTGTTGAAACTTGAAAATATGTGGATACCAGGCGCATCTCTATCTATATCTAGCATCTTTGAATGTAGTCGAGAGTAATTATTAAAAAAAAAATTGACATTTTGGCGATAAGAAAAGGTCAATCAGTTTGTGCTGTAGTAGAAAAGATTATTACGACATGCATGCACCAATCAAATCCATCAGTGAACATCAACATTACATCAACAATTATACTTCTTGTACATTTAAGGTTGACGCCCCCATGTATAGAAAATCTATCGATTAATTGAAAAAAATATTGTTATAATTAATATACAAAATATGTTAACTCATATAATGTCAAACTTCATCAAGGAGTCTCTTCTAATTTTTTTATTGGTCAGTCCAACACATCTCCGGTCAAGAATGCCTATGCAAGAAGGGCTCATACCCAATCCCATGAATGTTAATCTTCGTGGTATTCATACTTGCATACGTTATAAAGTCTTCGAGAACGTGCTCCTTTCATTTTGGTCGAAGCTTACTCTACAAAAAATTTCGCTAGTTACAATTACATCTGCTATTTATCGATACTTTGGCCACTAACTCTCCTACCATCAAGTCACCAACTTCCTTGACCTTCTATCCGATCTTACCATTTGAGGAGACTTGTCTTTTTGATAAATTGTTGTCCAGACTTGGTCTTTGCCACCCGTTCAGTGACAAACAACCATTCTCCCAAAGGTTATGGACTATTTTCGGGTCTCTTTTAGCATGTGCCAAACTTTTGCACTGACAGACAAATTTCTTGTCTTATTGCCATGCTTCAATATTTTTATTCAGTTAAGTAATGTCCCCACTGAAGTCTGAACAGATTTCTGGCTCCATCCCTGCTGAGGTGGGAGAAGGTAGTCTCTATAGTACAAATTTGAAAAGATTTCTGTAGTGAATCTGCTTTATATACACAAATTACAGTTCATTATTGATATTCAATGGGGCGCAAACACAAGTCTATCCAGAAGCTTGTGCTTATTGTTTACGACTACTTTTTTCTTCAATGCCTGATTGCACAAACCTCACTCTGAGGACTCGAAGAACATCTTCAACTCCTACTCCTCTGCGAGCTAGCAAAACCATGGCGTGATAGAGCACATGTGCCATTTCTGAAGAAGTCCGTGATTTGTCCTCATTTTCCTCCAGGGTTCGGCACAACTCATCAGCCTCTTCCCTGTATGGAAGGCGTCAATAACTAATTACAACACTAAGAACATTTCCAAGAGACTCTTTATATATAAGATGCTCTCTATTTTAAAAAGTCAAACCTCAAAATTACGCTACAATACTCTTTAAATTAACATTTTAATATAGAGTGGGTTTTACTCTTCGAATTTGAAAATTCAAATAACTCTCTATAATTAAATGTATTTAAAGTATTTCAATTTTTAATGGAGAAAAATAATATAATAATTTGGAGGGAAGCTGATGAAAATAAAATATAGGAAAAATAATAAATATTTTTTTATAAAATTAAGTGTTAAATATAAAAGGGTACTTAAAAATTCTCTCTAAATTGCAAAATGTGTTCTTTAAAAATAAAGAATCTATTGGAGATGCTTGACTTAGAAGTGAACCTTCAAAATTATCCAAACATGCTCTTCACTCTGCGACCCTCGAATATTAATCTTTCATACTGTTATGAATGCAAGTCATTGAAAAATTGATATATAAAAATGGTTGAGAAAGTAATTAATATACCCATTTGTTTATCAGTAGTTGACTTACAAGAAACTCATTTATAAAGTGACATATAAAAATGGTTGAAAAAGTTAATCATGATACCTGCTTTTCGAGCATAGTAACTTTTCATCGAGCAACAAGCGTTTAGTCCAGGAGGGTTTTCCATTTGAAGATCCTGATAATTCCTCTTTCCGTTGGCATATTGTAGATTCTAGAGAGTATAGAGTTGTCAATGCAAGTATATTTGCATCCACCTAGCAATAAAAGAAGACAATTTAGGAAAGGTTCTAATTAATAGGACGATCAAGAAAGAGAAAGAAGAAAACAAATATGTTACCTCTGGATTATTTAGAAAACTGTCAACGGAGGTGTAACAGCAGGTCTCGGAACCTGTAGGGCAAGTTCGCCCATCAGGCTTCCCAAGATAAATGGACCATGCTATGTGTACATAGCATGGCGTAGCGCAGGCCCCACCCCTCTCACATTACGTACACACCTGTGGATGTTGCTATGTACACATAGCAATATCCAAGATAAATTACCTGACAAATTGTACAAACTATTACTCGACATTATATACCAGAGCCATCAGACAATTATAAAAGGATATTTCCTTGACAATATTTATTAAAAAACTTACAGAATCGCGATCACGATCAAGAAAGATATCGGAAACATTGATGAAATTATTGGATGTCCCTCCCTTTGTCCATAAAGCTGATCTCGACCTACTATAGAATGTTGCCTTTCGAGAGGAAATTGTTGTTAATATTGCCTCCCTATTGATAAACCCTTGTGCATTAAAACGGCTCCTGTGTCAACATTTTGAGCGATGGCCACTGCCAAACCTTTGTCGTCCCATTTAACACTATCTGTCAATGAACCAACCTAAATTTATCTCGTTAGATGAAAATGCAAAGGATGACCAAGAAAACCATACAAGGTAAGTATGATAACTAATGTTGTGTCCAGATTGTAAGTCCATGTGGAAATGCTCATACTTGATTAGATGTCATTTTCATCAAATGTTGTGTCCAGATGTAGCTTATCTAGTCATTAAGAATTGACTAGCAGCAACGATGAACACTTTCTTCAGTATACCAGACATTCAACGGACACTGCAATCATGACTGCAGGGACACCTGCCTATGTCTGGAAAACTAAATGGTTAATATCACCTTAAATCTTTTTTCCAGCCATCTGTCTCTTTTAAAAAATGTGATGTTCATAAGTGACCAATTTAATTATTAAAAATAGACTAGCGGAAACTACTAAGAATTAGAATGTGGCGTTCAGATGTAGCACACTTCATCATTAAAATTGACTAGCGGCAACGATGAACACTTTCTTCAATATACCAGACATTCAACGGACACTGCAATCATGACTGCAGGGACACCTGCCTATGTCTGAAAAACTAAATGGTTAATACTCGCCTTAAATCTCTTTTTCCAGCCATCTGTCTCTTTTCAAAAATGTGATGTTCACAAGTGACCCATTAAATTATTAAAAATAGACTAGCGAAAATTAAGAATTAGAATGTGGTGTTCAGATGTAGCACACTTCATCATTAAAATTGACTAGCAGCAACAATGAAATCCATGATGAAGAGCAAGCAACAATCGAGGTAGTTTCTAATATTCATGATAGTAGTAGTAATCAAGCAGCTGTCCATCAAGATTGTTATGAGAAAGACAAAATGGTTCCCAAAAATTGAAGAAACCTAATTTGATTAGCAAAGACATGCTACTTTGAATTCTAGATCTACAATTGGTTCGAGCTTTGGAAGATAGGTGAGAGGAAAAGAATTGTACCATTCCCAGTAATTGAAGGAATACTTCCCTTTTGCTCATGTTTGGTACATTGCTGAAAAAACAATTTGAGGCTTACACCTTGAGGCATGCCTCAAATGAGGCTTTCGTCAAATACCTAGAAATTTCAGCCGTGTCACTTGTCAAGGCTTACAACTCTGGGTTAAATCATAGGACGGCTGAGATGTGAATAGTTTATCCTTTCTGGGTTTTTATGGCTACTATTCCTATAACCTTTTACGTGTGGTTTTGATTTCCATTAACTAACTTTCATGGATGGTTAGTAAGAATGCACCATGCCATGTTGACACTCTAGAAGAGAGTGACAAACTAGTAGGACACCTTCAAGAGATAGACAAAAAATAGTAATTAGATTTCTTATCACGAGGTAAATAGTAATGTGAAGTCCAGATGTAGCTCAAGTAATTAGACAAAAAACTATTGAGCAACGATGGACACCTTCAAGAGATATCTAAATGACCAATAGAAACCCATCAGTCATCTCTTCTTCTCTCTCTTTTGTTTCCCAGACATGTAACAGCGTTAACCATACAAAGTGGTAAACGCCTGACTAATGTCTGGAAATTCAGGCTCAAATATGAAATGAAGGGATGAAAGAAATCTATAGTATACTAAGCATGTTGACCTAATCCTGAATTCAGACGAAATCAAAGTATGACTTGAATAGGAAAATAAATTTTCAAAATGAAAAGATGTATATTCCACCACAAGCACCAGAAATATTCAATAAGTGCAGAACAAAAATGTAAAGGTAGGTCAAGCTTTTAGACTGTAAAAGAATAAGGGCATCCAAATCAAATATTATAATGCATGAAAATAAGCAAATGTACCTTGGCTCCTATGCGCAAATCTAGTTCTGAATTTTTAAGACGAGCAAAGACAGGGGACGCCCGGCAACTGAGCCCTATGCTAGAGTTAAAAGGATGGAGTTCGGAAAAAAATGGGAAAATGAATGCAGTTAGGATATAAAACTGCCATCTTTGTTGCACCAGTCCTGAAAAGAAAAGAAATTCGAAGTTTCATATGCTGGAATTGTATCCAATGTAATAGCAACCTTGAACAAAATTAAAACGGTGTCAGTGATATGGTGATAAAAAGAGACGAACCGAATTATGCAATCATCATGACTTTCTCAGAAAAGGTGCAAGATTTACATATCATATCAATAAGCGTGAATTGAAGACAGGGATATAAAGAAAAATGTTTTTTTTTTTTTCATAACCCATCAAACGAAATCTCCTACACTTGGAACTTAAAATAAATCTCGAAAGGAAATATCAAGAAACCCAAATTTGCAAACGAAAAAGAGAAAAGGTTTGCAGCTTTCCGCAGAGAGAACTCACCTATGTGCCCAATGAATCTAATAAGCCTCTGTATTGCTGTATACGATTCTCCTCCTTGTTGATGAGCATTAAATCTAATACTGAAATAGGAGTGTATAGTGAATGAATAGAGGACTGCTTGCTTCTGTAATTGTTTTCAGCTGTTGGTGCTTAGGCAGAGGGTACTTATAGGCGGGACTGCGGCGCTAGGGTTTTGAGTTGCTTTGAGATGCATTTTAGCCCAACCTAATCTTTTTTCTTTTTGTCCCGTGGAAACTAAGCTAATAAATAAGATAAAAATGGTTAATAGCATAAAATCCCCTAAAAACGTTTTTTATAGCAAAAAATCTCCTCTACCGTCAAATTTATCGTTAAAAGCAGTACAAACGTAAAAATTAAAAAGTATTAATTGTAATTTTAGTATCTTTACTTTTTATTATTTTACAAATTATACCCAAAAAATTTTATGTATCACCCACAATTTCAAATTTTTAAAACTTTATTTTCCACTACACCACAATTCATCTTCTTCCCCCAAAATTTATTATTTTATTTAATCTATTTCAGAATCCTCCTAAATCTATCGCCCCAAATTCATCATTTCTTCTTCTCATTCCAAAAAGAGGTCTTTGGAAGGAGGGATTTGGGTATTAAGAAAAGTGTTTTTTACTATCAATTTGAAGTTTCTTACAGAGATATTATTCAGTCTGAGTGTTTTTAATTTTTCTACTTGTATATACACTCGACATAAAAATAGTTATAATATATATCTTTTTATGTCTTTCTTTTCGGTTCATTCTACTGGAACTTAGTTAAAGTTTAATCTAGAAATCAATGGGTGACAATCAGTATTCTTTCTCTCTGACCACTTTTAGGTATGCGTTCATCCACTGTATATGTGTTCTAAATTTATTTTAATTTCAATATAAAATGGTTAAATTGCACTTACTTGAGCACACATGAATATTGTCTCTATTAAATTTTGTATATGCGTGCGTTGATTATGATTTTTCATTATTAATGAGAAGAAGAAATGATAAATTTGGGGTGAGGGATTTTGGAATGGATTAAATAAAATAATAAAGTTTTAGTAAAGAAAATGATGNTTAGAAACAAGGAGATTGAGGAGGGGGGGATGGAGGGTTTGGGGGCGGAGGATGAAGAGGAGAGAAGAGAGGGGAGGATGAAGAGAAGAGAAGAGAGTAAAAAAAAAAACCCCCCTTTAGTGAATTACAGGCAAATGGACTCGAACTCACGACCTAAAAGAAATCGGAGCCTCTACCAACTAAGCTGGCACACTATTTTTTAAAAATGCCATTTTCCGTGTTTTTAAAGTTTTTCGTTTGTTTGAACTGAAAATGCCAAAACGACTTTTTCATCATTTTCCGTTTTCTTTGTTAAATTTTAACTCATTTTCAGAAATTTGTTTTCGAAAACGCTAAAGAGAACGCATTTTCCCTATTTTGAAAAATCAAAAACAGAAAACGGCCTGAAAACACCAAAGAGAACGGCACCTTATTTTCCACTACACCACAATTCATCTTCTTCCCCCAAAATTTATTATTTTANTTATTTTCCACTACACCACAATTCATCTTCTTCCCCCAAAATTTATTATTTTATTTAATCTATTTCAGAATCCTCCTAAATCTATCGCCCCAAATTCATCATTTCTTCTTCTCATTCCAAAAAGAGGTCTTTGGAAGGAGGGATTTGGGTATTAAGAAAAGTGTTTTTTACTATCAATTTGAAGTTTCTTACAGAGATATTATTTAGTCTGAGTGTTTTTAATTTTTCTACTTGTATATACACTCGACATAAAAATAGTTATAATATATATCTTTTTATGTCTTTCTTTTCGGTTCATTCTACTGGAACTTAGTTAAAGTTTAATCTAGAAATCAATGGGTGACAATCAGTATTCTTTCTCTCTGACCACTTTTAGGTATGCGTTCATCCACTGTATATGTGTTCTAAATTTATTTTAATTTCAATATAAAATGGTTAAATTGCACTTACTTGAGCACACATGAATATTGTCTCTATTAAATTTTGTATATGCGTGCGTTGATTATGATTTTTCATTATTAATGAGAAGAAGAAATGATAAATTTGGGGTGAGGGATTTTGGAATGGATTAAATAAAATAATAAAGTTTTAGTAAAGAAAATGATGTGGGGTGTGATGGAAAATAAAGTTTTAAAAGTTTGAGATTGTAGGTGGTACATAAAAAAAAAAATTCGAGTATAATTCATAAAAGAATAAAAAACTTAGGCCCTGTTCTCTTTACCGTTTTC